CCCGGTGTTTGTCATCGGGGTTGGGTTTTCGTCACTTGGCAACGACGTTGTAAAACAAGCCAATTCACTTCGTGAACTCGGCAACCAGGTTACCGATTTTTTTTTGTTACCTCCGCTTTTTTTTTGGCGGTAACCATAATGGTGGCCGAGTAGATCATGTTGTGCGGGGNCACAAGATGCCGAACCCCCTTAGCAGGATGCAGCGCACCCTTCATGCGACTCGCCGAATATCTCACGGCGCTTCGCGCTTGGTGATGTGAGAGCCTGGTCTGGTGAGAACCCGGCGTGCTCCGTCCCGGCTTTGTAGGGATGCGAGGTCAATGGTCTAACGACTACGGCATGAACGACTATGAGTACATACACACACACCCCCAAACGCAATACAACTTCCTATATTAACATGTCCATACTAAATCCTATAGGAAAAGGGGGCACATTTCATGCACGGGGGCAGTACAACCCACGTAGCCCCTGGGCCAGCGTACCTTAGGGTTAGGGCGTGACCCTATGTAACCTTAACCCTGAACTCCTACAGGGCCGACGGCAGCGCCACACGTGCGGCTTTTTTCGCGGCGGGGACATTGGGGGAAAGTGCAAGACGTGGGCTGTCGAAGCAAAGGCGGGGAAGGCTGCGCCTCAGATGTACTCCAACTGTTCTCTTGCGTCCATGTTGAACTCGCGAACAAGTCTCGTTGCTATCGGTTTGAAAGCGGCGACGACCTTCACGATTTCTACACCTTGCACCAACGTACCCCTGAAGTGCTTGTTTTTCAGCCCTGAAACGTGGGTGTGGAAGTACCCGATCTCCCACCAAGTAGAAGAGGAGCATGCCACTCCGTTGGCGCTGAACAAAACAGATCTCCCAAGACTATGAAGTTCATAAAAAGCTTTGCAGTAGACGAGGCTGAGAAGGTGGCGGTGGTAGGAAAGCTCAAGGGTAAGGATACCGCTGTCAGAGCCCCCGTCACACGCCGAAAGGTCCCACACCAGAAGAGCACGGCTGGCAAAGCCCCCTTAGCACGCCGTATGGTCTCGCCGGGGGCGGGGGGGGGTTGATGGTACAGACGGGTCACTCTCAGACGAGTCGTCCGCGGGAAGGGGGACTCGGTTGAAGATGAGAGCTCCGAGTCGGAGGAGGAGCAGGAGGAGCAGGAGAAGCAGGAGGAGGAGGGAGGGGTGGAGGTGAGGGGGGGGGAGGATGGAGGGTGAAGGCGCTCCACGCGAAAGCGCTCGAAGAAACGGCGGTCGGTTTAGTCTTGTTCAGGGGGGTGGTGGGGCTTCGGGGAGTGGAAACGTACAATGCACGGCATTTGTGGATGGGTGTTGTTGCACGTGGCGAAGGTCATGCCACCGACGTAGGCTCATCGACAGCCCCTCTCCGGTATGTTGCCGGCTTGAATATGCTTGCATTGATATCGATACGACGCATGGGTATGTGTCATTTGGTTTTGGTGTGTCATTTGTTTGTGTGATTTCGCCATATTCGCCCAAGGTCAAATGTCGTGGACTTGTCGCAGAGGCTTTCAGAAGTTCGGGGTTACTTTAGCTGAGGGGTTGTCCCCAAGCACCAACTGCTGTACTACTTGTAGCTGAGGAATTGTCCCCAAGCACAACTACTGCTGTACTTGAGAATTGAAAACCAAATTTAGAAGAGTCCCCAGCCCGTCACAGTTAATGAAGTAGGGCTACTCCTTCCAGCATGGAGTATCATACATACCGTCAATCATCTCAAGCGTTTCAGAATAAACATTCCTAGTAACAAGATCCTGCGTGCACATCATGCCGTAACTACCACCACACGCAAGCACACGCAATGGAGAGGGGGAAAGCCAAGAATATAGCCTGCACAAAAATTTTCCGTGAAAAAAGAAAAGCGTTTTTCACGCCCTCCCGGGGGGGCGGGGGCGGGGGGGGGGGGGGGG